AATAAATAATAAATTAAATGGATAAAATTTTAATTCAAAGTTTTGTGTTTAGCATTAAACTTACACGTCTACTGGAAACAAAGATTTCAAGAAGTTTAGGTGTATCACGATATTTATCTAATTTATGTATTTTTCTAGCAACTACACAAAAATTTGAAAAAATTATTTACAATTTTCCATCTATTGTAACATTAAATGAGCTCTAACCCAACGAAATGGACAAAATAATGTATTAAATTTCCATATAATATCAATTCAATAATATTTAATCAACAATAATTATACAAGATTTGTTAATCATGCCACACCTTAAAATATAACTTATAATAATAATAATATGTTTATTATTATACCAATATTTACCAAAACTGAAAACAAAAACTGATAGAAATGGAAAGAATACAGGCGCATGATTTTATCAGTGTCTATAAAAGAATATTCCTCTATGGGAAAGTAAAGTATTGACATTTCGTTATTGTTGCCTAATATTAGCAGAAATATAATAATCTAAATGTATCGGAAATAATAATAATCTAAATGTATCACTTTCATACTTATTACAAACACTGCCCGATACATTTAACTTTGTATAAGGCTAAATTATTATGTGTCTACACTGGGAATACTCGCAAAAAATTTTTGTACCCTGCAACTTTTTAAATAACGCTTACATATTACAATTACAATATAAAAATAATATGTATTTCCATTCGAGCATACAAATTTTATCTAGTCATTGTAGATGCCCTTTCAAATCCTTTTACACTGACTAGCAAAGGGACATGTTATTTGCACTAAACATATTTAAAAATTTAAAATAAAAATTATAGGAATTCTTATAGGATATAAGATTTCTCCGGTAAAATATCATACATGTCGTAGTATATTTCGGTAAATATGCGTCAAATTTTATTTATTGCAATTTTAGAAGTAAATTGATAAAAATATCTATTAATTTACTTAATCTACTCTACTCTACTCTTACTAAACCTATTGAAAATACTTTGTTAGTATACTGTTTGCTTCACTCTTCAAACTTTTTGGTTAATTTAAAGTGTTGTTTATCCAGAGTCTACACTTTCATCTACAACGTGGCCCACGACAGAAGCTTGTACGTACAATTTTTAATATTTAAAATATTAATACACAGATTTTCTTCAAACATGTTTAAGCTTAGCGGTCTTTTTGTTCTTTTTTATACCTATATCTCAGCTAAATTTAATAAAGAAGATTATTTTCTTCTTCGTCTACTTCTTTTCTCTCAACACTGAAAACAGAATTATGGTTTATGTTGGTCCATTTAGTTCTTGCGCTTTGTGTACCAGTTCGCCTATTATTTTACTAAAAGATTGCAATTGATGCGTCCATCAGTTGGATATTGGTTCTGCGAGCAGTTCAGGTAAATGTGAGGAGCACAGAATTTATGACATTGGATATAACCTGAATAAATTTACCCGATAAAGAGATAGCAATTATATCCACATAAGCTATAACGCTGTATCCGAATCGTTTCAATAGTTTTAACAAGATATTAACCGCTATGTTCCACAAAAGTGGAGAGAGAATTCTGTGGCGTATCCCGACAGACTGCTCTATAGGATTGAACACTTCCGATGTCGGAGGTGATAATTATAGTTCTGAAAAGAACCTCTAATTTCATGCTAATTTCATCAGAATATCGTCTAGGTTTAGGTTTAAAAGACATTTTACGATACCATTGGGGCATACGTGATGGAATGCTCCTCGATATCTAGAAAAGTGGCAAGTGTGTATTCCCTAAGAGAGATGGAGTGGTCAACTTTCGAAATCTGTGATATAGAGAAAAATATCGGGTTTATAGTATTCCTAATAAAAAGATCAAGAACCCTCTCCAGTACTTTGAGAAGAAATGAAGACACAGTAATTGCCCTATAACCCTTGGTATTGTAGTGTATCATTTTCCCTGTTTTGGAAAAATCCAGCAGCTAAGGATAAGTTTGAGACAACTATTATATATGCTAAGAAGCTAGGAAAGGATGACAAATTCACCTTGTTCAATGTCAGTGAAAACATTGCCGTCCGCATCTGGAGATTTATACGGTTTAGAGGCCCACTTGATTTCCGTGTTGGTCACTTGAAACGGATTGGGATTTGACTTAAGTTGATATAAATATATCGGAGGTTACACTCCTGGAAAGTGCCTTTTTAGAAGGATGTCAAGACTTTCCTTAGAGCCCAAATATAATCAAGGGTCTTGTGGGTGTAATTGAGAATTTTGCGCAGCCGGTTAGACTCAGAGAAGGTTTCTATGTTACCACAGAAATTTTTCTATGCTGCCCTTTTGGCCTGCCTAATGGCGTATTTGAATTCCCATTATTTCTCTTTATATAGTGCCTAGTTTCCTGTGGCTTTAGAGCAGTTGAAGTATTTTCTGCAAGTTTTGCGGAGGTCTGTAAGACTAAGGTTCCACCAAGAAATTCGGAGGGTTTACAGGACGAAATTGTGGCACATCTAAGTACTGATGTAAGAAGGTCAACTGCTCGATCAATATCGGAACAATTGAGAATGGTGGAAGCGACCAACTGTAATTGGAATTCAGATTGATATGGATGAACTGTGCATTATAGAATTCACCGCCAAATCAAGATCGAAAAGGAACAATCTTGCGATACCTACCAGTTAGTAAGAAAATGAGAGGAGTGTTCACTAATCAGAGTAATATCGAGAATTTTCTTTCTGTTTGAAGTGATGAGGGTTGGTTCCCTACCTATGTTACCAACTCAAGGTTATCTGCAAGAATGATATCAAAAAGACATTCATCACGAGCATTAGTATCGGTACTGCTTCACATCTCGTGAATTGCATTAGCCTCAGCTCCTATGGCCGGTCCTCTTGTTATTTGCCCCTGACATCAGAAGCTTAATGAGTCCTGTGGTGGTGTGGCACCGTAATCGTGTGCCCTGTATGCTGAGACAACCACGTTGCTGAGCCATGGCTATGTTGTCATTGTCGTTGAACCTAGGGAGTAAAAAGGCATTAATGTTGTTTTTTACTAAGATGCAAGATCTGGGTTTATGTTGACCTTCTATGAATACTGTACGGTATCCGCTTGTAGTCAGTCCGCAAATCCGATTGTTTGCAGTCCAATGTTCTTTGATCAGCAAAATGTCCTCTCCTTTTTCGTATAAGCGGAGGGTGAGGGCTGCCAAAGTAGTTTTAGAATGTTGGAAGTTAATTTGAACAACCTTCAACAGACTAAATATTTTCGATTATGATGCTTTTGAGTTTATCCACGTCCGACATCAGGGAGGTATCACGGGGAACATGTTAAGAGGTCGCCAACCAGTTCGGGAGACAAGATAACGCTGCCTCCGTCTTCGGAGGAGAGTGTGCTGATTATATCAGGTGTCCTTTCGTTGGGATAATTGGTCACAGAGGTGGAATCGGTTCTAGTGGTTTCTATTGCGGGGTTGCAGAGGAGCGAGAGATTGTCCGTTGAGAACTACAAATGCTTTGATGAAAACATTTTTAGGGTCAATGACTTTCGTGCCCTTCCAGTCATGGGTGGGGAGTTCGGTGTTACCTGCCTTTTGAAGGGAGAAAATTTCCTCACGCGAGGTAAGTTCCGAAGAATGTCAAGCTTTGGAGCGGGGGCGTTGTGGAATGTTATCCACCGAAATAGTTCCAAGTTGTTTGCAAGGCCAGAGTACCCCAACCATCGCTTGTTAGTAGAGATCCGTGCAGCGTTTGTCTGAGCAGGTGATGATTTTAATGTGACCCTGGTACCAGCCAGCGTCACGACACTGAGGGTTCAGTGTTTAGGGTAATAACCTTTATGTATACCTAAAGGAGAGCCTCCGCCACCTTCTTCCAATTTGCTGGTTAGATGCGGCAGAAGGGGCAGAAGTTGATGAAATGTCAAAGGGCCAAAAATTTTCATTTTCCCTTGCCCACTTTAGTGATGCCCTTACGCTTTCAAAGAGCGAGTAAAAGTCCGCAACGTTTAGTCTGGAAAGAATGCTGTAGGCTAACCTACGTATCAGGATCGTGTACCAGAATTGGTGCTGGTTGCTTTTGAAGCGGTTAGCACTTTTGTTTTGGCTGAGGCATCAGCAGAAGAGCAGGAGGCAAAGTTACCACCTGACACAATTGCCGAGGTGCTCGACGGCGGAGCAATTCTTGTTCGGGTTGTCTGAGGAGGTACTCTAGACGGAGTAGGCCCTTGTCTAATAAGGCTTGAACTCCCCCCTGAATCGTTAGGTGTTATGTTGGTGCTGTGTTTTGATTTATTCATTCTAAAAAGGACTCCACTCAAAGCCGCTATTTAGCATCCATAAGTGTAGTCACTGAAGAGAAGTCCCATGGTTATCTAATACGAAACGGTCATTACCAAAGAATGCTGGAGCCCCTGAAGATGACAACATCTAGAGAGGTGGTTAGATCATTTTGGCACTACCCAGAGTGTTTCACGTGGTGGTGATTTAAATTACTACCTTATTTATTTATTGGTACTCCGATATAATTTAAATATTCTGATACTTCGAATATTGCAGGTACAGGTGTGTTTTAAGTCAGGCACGAATCAGTGATATAGAAGGATTAAGAATTTCCTGCTTAATAATAAATAACTCCGTTTTGTCTAATTATTGAAAATGTATTCTCAAAGTTATGTTGTGATGTTTTAATAAAAAAATATCTTTCAAAGAACGAAAAATGCGTAACCTTGACCGTAACGAAGAGAAATTGTTAAAAAACATTTATTTTTTATAACATTTTTAAATATAAAAATTAAGAAAATATGCTACTTAATACAAAAATTGTTGTATTTTCATCATATTAAACATTATATCCAATTATTAATTGATTAAATTTATATACTGTATACTGTATAATATGTAAATATTAATTCAATTCACTTTTTAAGTTTGATTTCTAAAAATGTGACGTTAATTTACTTCAATTATTTTGTTTTTATTTAATATTGCTTCAATTTATCTAACATAATCAAAATTGCAGGTTTCTGAAATAAAAAAGTTATGCTGCAACCCTATAATAATCATCACATTTAATATAAGCATAAAATTTCGATTAAATATATACGAAATTTATATCTGGTCATGAGATTTTCAACTATTGAAACAATAAGAGCATGGCTTTTATCTGCATTAATGGTGCATGGCGCAGTTGCTGGAAATCCTGATGCAAAAAGGCTTTATGATGATCTTTTAAGCAATTATAATAAATTAGTACGTCCAGTATTTAATACAACCGATGTATTAAAAGTATGCATAAAATTGAAGTTATCACAACTAATTGATGTGGTGAGTAAAAATTGATAGGATATTTAAATAGATCTGTAACGTATTTTAATAAAAAATTTTATGTATAACATAAATATATAAATGAAAGGGAATCGTTATTTATATATTTTTAATAAATTTATTTAAATACAGTACTTTAGCTTTTCATTAAACTTACTCAATTTGATTTAATATATTTATATATTTACCGTTTGAAACGAACTACCAGTTATACTGAACTATATTTAAATACAATAACATTTTTTATTTCGGTTAATACGACGTATAAATCCACTATAAACAATAGTATTTGTAAGCTCAAATTTTCTATATTGTTTGAAATCGGAATTTTTTTCAATGTATTATTTGACTACTTATAAACTACATTTACCTAATTTCAAAGTAAAAAAAAATTATAAGTTCTATACAATATATATATGAAATTATAAAAATTTTATTACAAGGAGTCCGAAAAATTTCAAACTTGAATAACGTAATTTGAAAACTAGGATGGCTCTGGATGTGTTTTGAAGTCCGATTCAAGCAAAAACTACTGTTCGTTGGTTGGTTGCAGTGGCAGGTCAGCAAACAACTTTCCATTGACTTTGCAAGAAACCTGGAAACAGAAAAATATAGACCTGATGTATCTCCACGAATTTATATAATTTAATGTCTTTTTTCTTTACCGATCAACAGTCTGATAAACTATTAAAAAGTACTTCCGTAAAAACCTGTTTCTTTTGGATGCCAGAGTTGGCCATTCACAGAAAAAGAAGTTATTCTTTTTTCCCTTAAAGTTCCACAACTTCTGCAATGACTACTATAAGAAGTGCGCAGTTTTTCTGTGTGAGTTTCCAAGATCTAGTCTTATTGTAAGCGGGTCATGACAGTACCACCAGTGTTATATCTAGGAAAACACCAAAGCGGGTCTAACCGTCTGCTTTTTAATTTCTTTTAATAAAACCAAGCCTATAAAGTGCTTTATGTCTGGAAATTGTGCAAAAATTTCTGCTCCTAATCAGCAGTCTATTTCGGAGCCATCCCTAAAGATTGAAATATTGTAGTTCACCTGAAAGTTTTTTTTCATTCGTCTTTTGATGGATTTAGATAATCCGCTGTCATCTTAAACATATAGATTGGAAATGTGCCTAGAATTCGGCTATGTTTATAGATACAATTATGACTAGCTCACCAGGTATTTAGATTTTCACACCTGTTAAAACTTCGTCACTATACTGTGGACACAGTAAAGCATTTTTTTATTTTACGACACATTATCTAGAATTACCATTATTTGTAATATATAGGTTATTGTGGTTTTTAAGCATCAGCCCCACGTTTGGTCGGTCTTGATTTGCCAGAAGCCATGGTCCTCAAGTCTGCTGAAACTTTGCAGCTTCTCTCGCTCAAACACGTCACACTATAATCTAAACCAATACTATTGGTAGTTCTGTGTGGTACTTACGAAGTAGGCTGGTATTGGATTTCCTGTCTATTGTCAGTGAACAGGAACTCTGTAGTCAGCAAGCTCACCTGTACCTAAGCCCCTACACCTTGTCAAAGCTTCTACCAATTAGAAGGAAAAGGACTGTATTATCAAATTAAATAAATAAATATAAATATTTTTTACATAAATTATGTATATAAGTACAGAAATATAAATTTAATTTTTTTTAAGTTTACCTAAAATCATTTTTAAATATAAATAAATAATATATATTTATTTTTATTTTTTTAGAATCTTAAGAATCAGATAATGACAACTAACCTATGGGTTGAACAGGTATGTGTACTGTGTGGAACAAATAATTCCGTTGAAACTTCTAGAATAGTATGTTTATGACAATAATATAATGACTTTCTATATATAGATAAATCTATAATGGATCAGAAGATACTACATATATATAATAACTTATACATTGCCATTTAAAAATATTATTTTTGGATTTTTTTAAAACTGAAATTTTTAACATTTTTAAGACTTTCTGTTGCCAAATCAATCAGTTATGTAAGAACCTTTAATTAGAATCACAAAATATGCGATTTTCGTTTTATTAATTAAATTGGAAATTTTAAGTGTACAATGAACATAAAATTACTTGAAACAATAGCAGAAATATATTGCTGTTTTTGCTTAAAACCTTAACCCTTCTGTAACTAAATACGCTTAAAAAAGCAACATTGAGAACTTTAGTATTCAAATAAGTTATTATTTGTAGTATGTTTAACATATTAAAATGTTGTTATCGAACCAAGAAAATAGTTATCGATATTATTTCACATAATAATTTAAAAGCAGAAAGATAAATAAGGATAATGATTTTAGGAGTCGAGTTTGACAAAGAAATTAGATTTAGAACCTTAAAATACATAAAAAAATGCACTAAAGTAGACATATAATTACGGTAGACAATACTCACGAAATGATATCTATTGCAATTACTAGGATTCTACTTATACAAAAATTATTACCAATATGGTAATCTTCTTATTACTGTCATAGTTAATGATTTGAAGTTGCCTGAAATTTTTTTTTCTATTAATTTAGTCTTGGTATGACTATAAGCTACGTTGGGAACCGAAGGAATATGGTGGTGTACATATGTTACACGTGCCATCGGATCATATTTGGCGTCCAGATATTGTTCTCTATAACAAGTAAGTTTATTTATAAAATAATTTAGTTCAATAACCGAAAAAGACTACATTAAACCATATCACCTATGCAAAGGTATTATATATAAAAATGACTTTCTTGCAGAATACTATCTTAGAATTAAATATTTGGTGAGACAATATTATATCTTTTAAGAGAGAGTTAATCTGATTCTCTTATATTTGTTTATTTTTTGTGGAAACTGTGCTTGGGTGCAATATTATATAATAAAAAAAGTATATATTAAATAGAAGTCATAAAAATATTTTGCTAGAAATCCTAATTAGATAAAGTAATTAAAAATATTTTGATAACTTATAGATTCCTTAATTCTTGTAGCTTAAAGACACATTTAAGTGCATTTCAACTTATATTAACTTTTAAAAAAATTTTATACATTGATTGCCACAGGAATTATAATTTAAGCTGTAAAAAAGTGTATTAGAAAAAGTTGCTTTAATTCTATTAATATTTTAATATACATTAATTGCAATAGTTGCTTTATAAATTAACTATGATATACTGTTTTCACACGAAAGTTTTGATTGTAATATCAACGGTCAAATATAATATTTTGATGTAAAATTAGTTGGACTTAAATTTTAAACATATCGGATATGGCACAATGTAAATACATATATTTAGGATATATGAAAGTTTTCTTTCATTTTGCATTAAAACTTAATCCATTCTCAAAACTATTCAGAATAGCATAAGTTCATAGAGTACTGCATCGATTAGAGTCAATAACATTGAAACAGTTAATTCAATTTAGAATGGATTCCTTTTACAATTAGATTTGATATATTTTAATCTTAAAATCTATTTTGAAATGGTATTTTAAAATAAAATAAAATTTTATTAAAAAATGGTAGTTTTGTTATTTGTCGTATGCCATATGCTGGCGTATCATCAATTACTAATTCTTAGATAATCTAGGAAGAGTAAATCAAAAGTAAAATAAGTAATCAATCAAAAACGCTATAACAACATAAGAAAATCAGGTTCACAACAAATTTTAGTATATTTGAATAAATGTAGGGTTAGGTCCTACATTTATTTAGGGATCTATTTCTTTTTCATACACCATGTTTGCATTCAGTAAATAAACGTTTTGAAGTGAGGTGGTATTTACTATATCTTTTAACAAATTTTATAATTCTGTTAAGCAACTTTTATAATATTTATTATACAAATACTTTATATAGTAAACATTATAGCAAACAAAACTAAATATAATTAATATACTATAATAAAACACAATAAGTACAAACTGTTTCTAAAAACTGCTTACTCTTTAAGGTTTTTGATTTTTTTAAATAATTAGAAAAATATTGTATTTTAGAAATATTATAAGTACAATTTTTAAATAACATTATACCAATTTATAAAATCCAGAAAAACGTTTGGTATATCTATTACTTTTATTTTTTATTAGTTAAAAAATAGAAAATATTATTATTTAATCTATTGGTTTCATTCATTAACCACAATTCTAAACATTTCAATTTTATTATTATTCTAATCAAGTATGAACTGCGACCAGTAGTATACACTTCTCGTTTGTAAAATTATATACACCAGGGCTGTCCAAAGCACGGCCCAAATGCGGTCCGCGACATATTTTTAATCTACTACAATTGCGCGAATTTTCTTTTGGTGTACTGGTAAAACCACATTATTTTATTTTTATAATACACCAAGTAAATGAAATTAAATTGATAAATTAATAAAACTTAATTTAACATTATTATCGTATTTATAATGTTATAATGTATTTATAATAACAATTATGAACGTATGTATTTGTTTCTGCGACCCTCCAATCTGTACAGTGATTGGTAGTGGCCAGCGATTGCTTTTCGTCTGGACAGCCCTGATATACACAACTAATATTAGATAAATAAAAGTAAGACATGAAATCATGTAAATAATAAATACTATTTACATATATTAAAAATAAAAGTAAATCTTTAAGAATAATTCAAAATTCATATTAAAAAAAATTGACTCTTTAATGCAATATTTCTGTATGAAGAATATTAATGTTTTTACACACACCAACTATTTAAAAAAATATCTTTGTCGTGTGGCTTGCGGGAGACGTAAATGTTTTGTAAAATTGTTATTGTTTCGTTTACAATTTATTATTATATTTTTATTATAATATTGTTTATATTATTTTAATCACAGCGATTAATACAGCATTTGTGAAACAATATTTTTTCCTGGCTCGCTCTTTTTTCTTGTATTCATATTGTATAATATGTTTTACGCATGCCAGTGTGTTTACCTTTTGTAATAAAACTAAAATAAAATGCACTAATATACGTGCATTTTGTTTTTATGCACGTATAGAGTAGCAGTACAGTCCATTTTTACTACTCTGTTTTGAATATATTAATGTAAAGTTAAATTCCGACTATAATTAAACCAAGAGAAAATACCATATAAAAATTATGGTAATAATATCATAATAATAATAATATATAATAATAATATATGTACATATACTTTCAATTAAAATATTCATTATATATATCTGTGGCTTTTATCCACTTTCTAAATGAATAAATGCTTCTTTATATTTCCACGTTATTGTATTTCAAATATGTTCAAAAGCAGTTTTCTTTATTTAGTTCATGTAAAAACTCAATTTGCTTTTTATGTGAAAATTTATTCATCACATCCTGAATATTATAAATACAAGATATATAATATTCTGTTATATTATATTATAAATATAAAATATACATAATAATATATTATATTATTATCGTTCCTACTTTTATTCCTACTTTCTTCTTCTTTGCGGATTTCAGTTCATCCAGCTTGTGCAGGCACATACATTATATATTTTATAACTCACAGAAGCAAAACTTAATGAATATTTAAATATTTGTCTTTGTCAACAAATATGGATCAATGAGTGCAATTTTTTTAGTTAACCTCCACTTGGCAACACTCTCTTCTATTATTTCCTTTCTACTAATATAAATTTAGTCATTAAATATCTTTCCTGAATTGAGAAAAATACATAGATTTAAACAGAATTCCACAAATTACTTAATTATTCGTAAAATGATTATACGGTTGCAGTTTAATTATAATATCCAGTCAAATTTTTGTAAAGATTTTGTAAATTGTAACAGTGAGATTTCTCTCCATTAACTGTTATTGCCTTTTTTGAGCATTCGTTCCAAGGTAAACACCATCGCAATATGATGGTGCAGTTTTACTGTCATTATGTCTAGGATAGTCTTAAGATATCTATTAGTGTTTTCTCACTAAACGAATATTACATTAAATTACAAGATGAAAATTTTTTTACAGAGTACATAAAGAAAACCGTTTCATTAATTCTTGTACATTAAAAGATCTGCTATGCATGCATCTGTTAAAAATGTGTCTTCTTACAATTAGTATTTCATATTCTACAGTGTTCACATACGATTTAACATACAATTGAAATATTTTTTCCATACTGCAAGCCATACTTAATTCTATTTAATTATTCTTATTTCTTATATTCTATTCTTATTAATTATATTTTAACATATTAATAGGTGTACACCTATTTATTACTCCTATTTATTAATAGGTGTATTTATATTTTATTGGCTATTACCAATTAGAAATTAAAAGGTATTGAAACTCTGTTTCTGAAACAGAGCCGCCAAGCTTTTTTTAAACAAGTTTTTAGAGCAAAAATTTGATAAAAAAAACAAAGAAAATGTGAACAAGAATTATGTATTTCTATATAAATACATTATATATTCTGTACAGTGATAAATATTTAACTAAAATGATATTAAGTTACATTAATCCTCTTATGACAAAAATGGCATTGTTTCAAATATCTTGTATTATTTTTGATTAAATTGCAGGATGATTTATATGCATGATTTAACATAAAGTTTTGTATTATTTTGGTATATTTGTGGACTTAATATAACATTTTTATTTAACACTAAGAAACAAACTTATTTGAATGACAATCATTATAAAATATTTCAATTGCTCTGTGCAGTTTTTATCGCTTACGCTAGATATAAATATATATCTTTTATATATTATGTATACATTATAATCAGATCAAACAAAATTAATTTTTAAAATTGTGTGTAATATAAAATAAAATCAATGAAATTAATCTGATACAAGATTTTATATAATTATGTCTATTTCTATAACTTACACCAAAATTTTATGAATTTAATTTTCATATTATATAAAATGTATATTTAAATTGAAATACCGTAAAAGTCAAAAATATTAACATTAGTTTTACGGCAATTTTTTATTATATTATTATGACGCATGCCATTTGTTTTAACTTTCACTAAACTGTTGCAAATCATACTCATTGCGGTTACGTTCTAAGTTCTTTAGGAGTTAGGGAAAACAAATTTTCCATAAACTACCTATATATACGTTGCTAAACAACTATATATATTGGGTTAGTGTATAATTACTGCGGCTCACTTGCCAATTTTTCAAAAAATAAACTTATACCTTGTGTTTACTATGTCATTTTAAATGACAATTATAATTGATTGGTGTGTTAAATGCGTCTTCATTACATGACAAGAATGCAAATATGATATCATATGACTATCCGTTTTCATTATACTGAGGATATTTGGCATTCAAAATGACTAGTGAAAACGAGGCATAACGTTTGTTTTACAGTTATATGACCTGTGCTACAATTTTTAGTGCTGGTAAAAAATTTATTTTTATACAGAACGAAGTTATATTTACGTATGTACAATACATACATTTTCAAATATTTGTACTGAGACTAATTTTGCAGATCATAATAGCAATATTATTTTATATAAATAATATAGCTAAAAATGCTGTTTAATAAATTTCTCTATTACGCTTATATAATATAATATAATATAATATAATATAATATAATATAATATAATATAATATAATATAATATAAATATAATATATAATAATATATAATATAATATATAATAATAATAATATATAATATAATATATAATATTAATAATAAAATATAATATAATATATAATAATATAATAATATATAATATAATATATAATATGTATAATAATATATAATATAATATATAATATTATACTATGATATAATATAATATAATAAATAATATAATATAATATAATATAATATATAATATAATAATAATATATAATATAATATATAATAATATAATAATATATAATATAATATATAATATAATAATAATAATATAATATAATATAATAATAATATAATGATATAATATGATAAATATATAATAATATAATATAATAAATAATATAGTATATACATAATATAATATAATAAATAATATAATATAATAAAAAAAAATATTAAATATAATAAAATAAAAAATAAATAATATAAAATATAATATATAATATATATAATAAAAATATATATAATATAATATAATATAATATAATATAATATAATATAATATAATATAATATAATATAATATAATATAATATAATATAATATAATTCTAAATAAATATTAATATAATTTCTATATAGCTAATCCAGTAAATAAACTAATCGAGTTTAATTATTGATGTTTAGAATTCTAAAAATCAATGAAATAAATGTGTATGTTTGAGAACTAAATATATAATTTTATATTTGGAATTTTGCAATATTTTATTATTTGATTAATATATATTGTAATAAACATATGGGGTTAAAAAAAAATTACGTTAACTCGTATATTCATATAAAAACTCTAAAAAAATATAAATGAAAATTGATGTTGAAATGATAAATACAGCGCCGATGGTAACTTTGAAGTGACTCTTGCAACTAAAGCCACAATTTACTCTGAGGGACTAGTTGAGTGGAAACCACCGGCTATTTACAAATCATCATGTGAAATAGATGTAGAATATTTTCCATTTGACGAACAAACATGTGTACTCAAATTCGGGAGTTGGACATATGATGGGTTCAAGGTAGGTTATTAAGCGATTTTCAAAACATCAGGCTTTAAAAATTATAAGACACAGTATGTTGCATTACTTTTATATATATATATGTATGATTTAATTAATATTAACTTACTTTGTACAGAATTATTAACTTTTTTGTTATTATTACATGGAATACACTTTATATACAATAGAATTTCAATCGACTGAGTTAGTCATATTTGGTACATATTTAAAAATACATAAACTGAATTATTGACAATAATTAACTCATCGAAATGAAAATTATATTGTATTGACATTACCAAAGAAGTTCAGTGTATATGAATGTTACGCAAATGAAATACCAAACTTTATTAAACAATAGTTATCTGAAAAAGATTTATATTCAGTTACATATTAAAATTTACTTAACCAATGTAATTTTAAAATTATTAAAAGAAATTAAATTAATATGTATAAAAAATAACATCCATTATTAAAATTTATGAATTGAATGTCATCGTTATTTATACTTCTTGGTTTCAGTTTTTTTAATTTTTATTTAAATTATGTTATAAAAATTTGTCATTTTTTTAATTAAATATTATTGATATCTAGTTAATCTATATTAAGCACTAACGTCATTGTGTATCAAGTAATTGAAAATTTTAAAAATCCTATACCAAATATTTTTTTTCTATGCCCAATCCTAACACTAGTATTTTTTTTCTAAGCAATCCTAAAATATATAAAAACAAATTTTTAAATACCCAACGAAAAATAATTTTGCTTACGTTATCATTATCATATAACATTACTTAATTATAAGGTTCAGGATAAATAGCAATATTATTAACAAAATGTTAAGGTAATCATCACATATAAAGGAATATCGATTGTAATTATAATAATAGTTATTCGTAAGTCAAACGTCTAAAATCTCTTATTTCATAAATAATAGCTTTGTATGAAAAGTACTTCTATTTGATAAATTTAGTAAAGGATTTTAATGCGACGTCTAATCAATTGTGGCGAATACATATATATCCAAAGTAGATTTAAAGTTATGTGCTTTAAGAACTGAAGTAGTAGTATATATAAATCATCAAATTAAATTTTGTGCAGTGGCACATATATGTAGTGAAATTTTATTTTAAGAACGTATATAATAGTCCTATTTACGAATAGAACCGAATGTAGTAGCAGAGTTATGAAATTGTTTTATTATGTTAACTGCGAACAAGTTTTATACTATACCATTGGTGCCGCAATATATAGCATATATATTTGTATATTTATGCTATAAGTATTTAGTATGAATTTAGTATTACATTTAGTATTACTTATTTTCAAATGAAAAGATGCCAATTACACCTATTTAAAATTGTGACTACGGATAGAACGAATGCGGGTACGGATGTATTTAGGATATTAGAAGAAACAGTTATTACTCGAATATTCTAACAGCACTCAAGTTCAAGTATGCTGTCAAGCCTTCTTATAACATCATTAATTTTTTCATAATTTTTAATGTTAAATCAGCTCAATGAAAATCAGAAGTGTACGTTCATTTTTACTCACTATAAAAGACATATGTGTGAGATTTAGCACATTTTTTTGGTAGAAATTAGTTGCAATGAAACAAGAAGATTATAAACAGTATTTATTTCTTGTAAGAATTATTTTGCACTTTCTCATGCATTTTTTGATGTTTTCTTATTTTTTTGTGAAAATTTTAAAACTTAAGTTTTTGCTAAATAATAATATAAGTACTATAAACACAAATATAATTTAAAATATTATTGTAAATATATCTATGATGTTTGTTATATAAGCCGGATACCAATATGATATATTTTATATTTTTAACCTTTTTTGGTCCTACCGATTATCATATCTTATTTATTCGAGTAAAAACATCGTATGGAAATTTAGATGATTGTAAATATGTCAAAAAACCTGGTAATTTCACATGCTTTGTCGTAAAGGCGCAATTTAAGGAACATTTAACTGCATTATATTTAAATGTAAAAACTTAATATATATGTACTTATTTTCTGTGTGATATGTTGTTGGAAAATTATTAATCTTAAAATATATTTTTTTTTAATTTTCTCAGTATTATTATTAGAATAAATTGCAACTTCATTTAACAAATTGGCTTTGACTTCCTACAATAATTGAAATATCACTATTCTTCGAAATAGGTACTTAAGCTGGTCATTTCGATATATTGTAAGTCAAAACTTACAATATTGTTGTTTTCTCCTTAACTCTATTTATATTAAGCCAATTATTTGCTAAATTACGAGGGCGGTTGGATAAGTCAGTGACTTTTTGAATTTACTGCGCAGTTGCTCCTAATGCAAGAGTGCTGCCGTCAGCTGTAATCTAAAAGTCGGCAACTTTTTGATTTTGAGTAAGATACGTCGTTCAGTTGGTGTGTGATAGCCGTTCAAAGCAGACAACCTTGTGAATTTTTACGAAAATGGAAAAAAGTGAATTTCGTGTGCTGATTAAGATTACAGCTGACGGCAGCACTGTTGCATTTGGAGTAACTGCGCGGGAAATTCAAAAAGTCACTGACTTATCAAACCACCCTCATAGCTTATTGTATGTGTTTAATGCAGTATTCAAATAAAACTGTTTGGTTTATTTGTAATAAATATATTGTAGTATTATTTTTAAACTGCAACAATTGCAATATGTTTATATAATTTCAAACCATAGCAAACTTCAACTTAATGTATAATTTAGAATAACATGTGGATTTTAAAAACATGGAATTTTAATCAATTAGTTGTATTATTATATTCTTCTATAAAATTCAAAGTCTGATATCATTAATATAAATCCAGAAGTTATAGTGATATTAAAGATTTCTATTTTTAAATATTATAATTTCTTGTAAAATCATTTACATAAGAAAACTATTTTCTATTATTGGTGTGAAATTAATAGTCAACTATTTTAACCAATTAAAATATTACAAAATTTTTAAATATACATATTAAAATTCAATATAGATACACATATTCATTGCTACCCATAGTTATTATTCTACACGGTTCAGACACATATTATTATTATAATAAACAAAATACTGATAAAATTTTGGAACCATTTGATCGAAATTGCTTACTTTGTTAATTCTATAGTTTTGAATCGGTTAGTCTTCTGTGAATAAATAATTTATACAAGTTAGGTTAGGTTATATCGGCGATTCCTGGTGTATCCACTTAGGTCTATTTGCCCATTGTGTAACCGTATATGTAGGAAAAAGTCAGGGTTTAAAACTACCTAGAATTTTTAGCGAAGCTTAAAATGCTAAATAATCTATATAAATAATAATAATAATAATATATGTGATATCATTGTTATATGTAAATACATGTTCTTTATTAATATGCTCTGATAATTTGAAAATTATAAATATTTTCAAATTAAAATAAAGTAAAATTTTATATTAAATATTTAATTAAGGTTGCTTACAATATGTTGTCATTCTTTTAAAAATTTGCTCAAATTTGTACTAACTGTAGTTAATACATAAATTTATTTGTGTGAGTGTTTTTGACTATTTTTAAATCACTCAATAATATAAATCATTTCAGATGATCACGTTATGATTTGGAAATATTTCATATTGAAGTTATATGCGAAATTTTAATAAGCACTATGTACTGATTATTTTCATATTTCGCATTAAATTGCTTTAAAATATTTTACAAAAACAAAAATCTCACCCTACAATGCTATTGGGTTTGTATACTTCTGTACCAGTTAACAGACTCTGTTATTGTTTTCTATAACGCTGTATATGAATACAAGACTAAGCAACATGCTGCAAACATGCAGCGCTTTCATTATTTTTAGTACTATGTTTAGTACTAATGCAAAATGGTTTTATAGCAAGAAGTGGAATTGTATATTCTAGAGATTATGATATTTACTAAATATAATTTTTTTTTAAACTGTAAAACTGCAATAAATGAGAAAAATATTTAAAATTGATTGCTTTTCCCTTCAAAAAAAAAGAAGAAATGAATGATTTATATTTAATTACAATTTTTAATTACATAAATCATATATTTTTTCTTTTTTAATGCGCTTTGAGTTAGAAACGTGTTCTGACAAACTCCGTTCATATATATATAGTTATATCTTAGTCATTTATTGAGGACATTGTTCAAAATATTTTTCAGTGCTGATGGCCATTATGAAGTTACACTTATGACTAAAGCAACAGTCCATTACTATGGATTGGTAATATGGCAACCACCTGCCGTTTATAAGTCGTCTTGTTCAATTGATGTTGAATATTTTCCATATGACGTACAGACGTGCATCTTAAAATTAGGAAGTTGGACTTATGATGGTTTCAAGGTGCTTCAGAAGTTTTTTACTTAAATTATATAAAAAAGATCAATATGTGTGTAATCATATGTTTATATATATATATATATATGCATCTATTTTATGTTTACATAGAGCACAATTAGCATTTGTAAATATACATGGGTATGCATAATAACGTGTATATATATAAATGTTTATTTATATTTAAACATATTATATAGGTACTAGGTGTATATGAATATATATATACATATGAATATATATTTATTTATATATATAGTATAATATATATTTATATATATATATGTAATAATAATAATATATATTTATAATATATATAGAAAATCGATTTTATAAATCTAACATTTTTATTCTATAAGACTGGGAATGCGACCTTAGAGTTAACAATTTTAGTTTTGTAGAATTTCAGTGTAAAGTTTTTTTCACTTTTAATTTCTGTAAAACTATGTAAGTTTAATGTTATTAATAGCTTTAAAGCATAACTGTAGTAAGCTATACCTCATTTTTGGAAAACTGTATTCACGAAATAATATATTATTGTTATGTTCATAATTAATTTGTTACTCAATGACTGCTTTTATTGATATGATCGTTCTTATATCCACGAATGTAATTTTTTTATACATACTAAAAAACGAAAAATTAAATTATAGTTATAGAAA